CATCCAGAGCTGAGGCACTAAGGCTTTCTGGAAGAGACGACACTGCAGCTGAGTTTGAAACACCCTCCCCATACGGGTTGTCATCTGCTGTTTGCCTCAGGAACTATAAATACTGTTTATTTTTTACAATCATCCCAGTCGTGTCAATGTTTCTTTGCTCTCAGTGGCTGTTTGGGAGTGTGAGGATGGTGTTCAGAAGCTGGAGAAGTCGGGATACTGAAATAAGATGAGCCTCAGGATGAGGCAGAGAACTGGACTGAGAGCTGACTGAAAGGATTATGTTTCATTAAGGGCTAAGAGAATTTTCAGGAGCAATAGCTGTTATTTGCCTGGGGCCATAAAAGTAAAATAACTGTGATAGCAGATCTTACATGGTGATAAAAAAAATGTAAGAACAAGTTGGCCAGTAATCAAAATTATGTTTAAAAATGTTACTCAATATTATGTGATGTTATGATACTTGAAACACACTAGGTAGCATATAAGCCATATATGTTACATGTATTATACAGCAAGTATGTACTATATATTCTATATATGAAATACATATAACACATATGTAGAATTTATAGTATCAACATAGTACACAGATAAAAGAGAATGAAATATAAAGTACAATGTATAGTACTCTGTGTGTATATGTGTGGGTGTGTGTATAAAAGAAATAAATTCAGACCTCCCTTCCTTCCATCCATTCCTGGTTCCTTCCATCCACTCTTGGAATAACACATGGTAAGCAGAAATTGATGTATTCTTTTTATTTTTCTTGTTATACTGAATTGTTTTAGTTGACTCTTACCAATTTAAACTTGTGTAGGATGTGATTCCAGGATATGAACCATGTTTAAGAAAACTGAGGCCAGAAAATATCTCAATTTGCAGCCATATTTTGCTCTTACAACTTGACTATCTAAGATTCTTCACTCTGCACTTAATAAAACAGTTTACTTACTTTTATTTTATTTTTTTAACTTTTCCATTTTCTCTCTATAAAAAAGTGAGATTCTGGTCACTTTTTTATAGAGAGAAAAAAATGGAAGAATATTTGAAGGGAAGTGCTATGCGTCCAGAGGTTGATCTAGGGCAGCAGTGTCTAATAGAACATTCTAGAAGTATTAGACATGTCTATCTGTGCCATCCAATAGGATAGCTATGAGCCATGTATACCTACCAATCACCTCAAACAAGGTTGCTGTGACTGACGAAGTGAGTTTTTAATTAATTTTAATACAACTTATTAAAAACTAAAAGTCTAAAAGGGCCACATGTGGCTATGGAACATCATAGTGGACAGAAAGCACCAAAGTCTTATGTTACACTAAAATTGGAAAGCTTGGAACCCATCTGAGCCACATTAAACCTTAGGACTTATTTCCTTCATTGTATTTTATATCTAAATAGAAAAGCAGAGTTAACACTAAAAGCTGAGAGTCTCTGGATGGTAGCAAGGGGCCATTTCTGAGAAGCAGCAGGACCACAGGACAGGCTTGTGACTGAACGTGGGCATTTCCTATCTGCACAGCTTGTCTATCCTTCAGGCGGGCCAACCTCATTCACATTTATGACTCTCCTGCTCCCTGATTGGTACTTATGTATTCTACCCCAGCTCAGATGAAATGTGAGGTCCCTCTACATGCTGAACAGCATCAGCAGAAGGAACCACAGATCCTTCCATTTGGGGTCTTTCAACAAAGGCCAGGCATTTCTAATCCCCTGCAAAGTAGGAGAAAAATTCTTTTTAGAAAAAGTATTCATCCTTCCTCAGGGTAACCTCTTTCAGCACCCCCAGCAGTTTCTATGAGACTGAACATTAATTAACCTTTAAATACAGGCTTTTGGGCTCAGGCAGAGAAATGTGAGAGAAGGAATAAAATTCTCAATTAAACCCTAAGATGAGTCATTTCTCTTGAGAATTTCTGAACTTTTAGATTTCTAATATAGCCAATTAAGAGTTCTTTTTGCCCAATGGGAAAATAAAAAAGACAAGATCTCTCATGAGACAAGTCAGCCTCAGTCTCTAAGACGGGCTCTGGATTTTCAAAGGATGTTCTTTTGTAAGACTCTTAAACTTTATTCTGAATCTTTGGAAGCATGTTTGAATTGCTTTTAAGAAATGCTTTCATGTGAATCCCTAAGTTCCCTCCTGGGATGGCTACCTATCCATCTTTTTATATTTCTCTCTGTTTATTTTTATAAACAAATATAAAAAAAATCCTTTCTCTGACTTCATAAAAAATTCCTCATATTCTTCTTTCTTAGGTTATTTGCTATTATATGTTTATACTATTTATCTGAAGGATAGTAAAAAATATGAATAAACAAGTATATCTTCTTTTGGAAAATGTAAACATAATCTAGAATACTACCTAGATGACTATTAAATGGAAAAGTTAAAAAAAGTAATATAGAATACTACCTAGATGACTATTAAATGGAAAAGTTAAAAAAAGTAATATAGAATACTACCTACTTGACTCTTAAATGGAAAAGTTAAAAAAATAAAATAAAATAAAATAAAAAGCTAGCCAAAAACAAAGGTGTCATCTAAATAGATAAAGCTACAATACAACCATATTCTATACCCACTTACTGCCTTACTGCACTGACACTATCTATCTCTTATAAAGGTAACATGAATAGCAAAGAGTTGTTTTCTGTTCTAAGAAAGCCTAACATCTATCAGAATGAAAAGAGTTTTGCTTGTGCTTTCAAGGTCTCAGTTTCTAGTGATCATACTGCTTTAGTTTAAATCAAATTTTACATCGGTTAGACATCTTAACAAGAAAACCTTTAAAACTACAATTGACAGCGTCCACTCTGTTTGGCTACAAGTGGATGATTTTTAAAACACCCAGAATGTTAAATTTCCTCATTAATCAGACTTAAAATGAAAAAATCAATCTGAGTCACATGTACTCTAGCCTCAGTTACAGATTTTGTTTAAATTAAAACAGATGGATGTCAAGATGTTATCCCAGGATGTATGATGACACGGAAGTGTGCACATGTAAAACCTCTTCATCAACATTTTACACACCCAAGCAATGCATTTGAACACCCACACCATGTGCGACAATAAATACCTGGTCTGCACACACACCATCACAACGAAAGAAAGCTATTTCTAGATTTCTAAGCTCAAGACATCTGGCTAGCTGCTCAAACTATTCACACACAATTAGTCCACTCATTAGAAAAGCATTCTTATATGATTAAGTCTTGTACCCTGTCAGTTTTTCAGCTGAACCCATTTATCCCCCAAATGTTCATAAGATGAATGTCATGAAATGCAGTTTTAGTGACAAGTGAACAAGCACTCATACCTGAGTCATTCGCACGGGTCCTTTATCATATTTAGAGTCACATCTATGAGAACAATTTTCCATTGAAAAGAAAAAAACAAATATGCATTTGAAGGTATCAGAATGCCTTAGAAAAATGCTGGAGAAAATATTTCCAGGACAGTGTTTTGTTAAATCAATCTGTTCACCTTCTACAAAAAGAAGAAATATTTACCAATGTAATATGGGCATACATCTGCTTAATTTAACTAGCTCTAAAATATGGTTTATTTCTTCCTCTCTCTCTCTCTCTCTCTCTCTCTCTCTCTCTATCTATCTATCTATCTATCTCTATCTCTATCTCTATCTCTCTCTCATCAGCTCCTCTTTTCTTATTTCTCTAGGGAGAAGCAGAATCATAGGAAAACCTTTCTCTCACCTTTGCCAATTCAGACTAGTAACCTGGAATTCTAAGGTTTACTTTGTTGGAAATACACAGGAGATGCTCATTAAGTATGCTGTTGAATATTTCAGAAGGAAACTGACCTTGATTAATTCCAGAAGCAACCTTCTCACCCATTCCTGACCCAATTTAACAATGAGCAGCAGAAGTTCCATGAGATCTAGAGGACTCCTGTAAACCTCCAGAGCTTTACCCATACAGGATTAAGTCGGCTTGCTCTGCTTGTTCTGGGGTGGGGAGTACCCATCAAAAGAATAGTTTTGAAGGGGACACTGGTAGCACCTCCAGTACCTGCCCCTAAGACATCCTGGTTGTATTTTGCAGTTCCTTACATCAAAGTTGTAACATTCTCTTTATAAATAATCAATTTCTTCATTTAAGTGGGTTTCCTTAGGTCCCACGAAAAGTAAAAATCAATTATCTTTTGTCATTTAGTCAAGAATATATCCATTCCATCCAAATAACCCACCATCATCTCCAAAATGCTAATATTTTTATCTTAAGGTGATGATAATCAATTCTCTTTTTGTCTTCCCTTTTACCTTTCTGTGATGCTTGAAGGTTTCCAGTGAAGTTATTGTCTTTTATTTTTTTAATTTTTAAAAATTTTTTAGTTGTAGTTGGACACAATATCTTTATTTATTTTTATGTGGTGCTGAGGATCAAACCCAGTGCCTCACATGTGCGAGGCGGGCGCTTTACCACTGAGCTACAGCCCCAGCCCCTATTTATGTCTTTTAAATGTAGATTTTAACATGATAAAAACTAACAAATAGAATATACTTACTCTCCATGAATAATTAAAATGGTTTATTAACTACATATTTATTCTTTCTCATTGAATATATCTCCAAATCTATGCCCAATAAAATGGTGGAAGGAGGGATACTGAAATATTTTTTAACTATGATTTCAAATTATCTTTAAAACTGAATTTTACTCCCAAAACAGATGTGTTCCTAATGATGACATAGAAATTCAAGCTTATAAATTAAATTGCACTATAAATAAATGAAGAAGCACTGCATGTTTAAGAGGTCCTACTGTGTTCTTCAATTGATAAATCTTACCATAAGGTGAACAATCAAATTACACACATATGGATTCAAATGTTCATGTAATCAGACGCGTGAAACATGTCATACAATTGCAGCTTCCCATACTACTTCCGACTCACAGCATAAATACATGCAAGCAACAAAATTCACAATTGCCACATTTGTTTTTCATTTGCATTTTGAAACTTTTCACCGTACCTGTAATGAGGTGATGGGTTGCCTCTTGCTTCACAATTTAAAGTTATTTTTGTATCCTCTGAACCAACAGGGAAAATGCTGTTGCTGGGCTCTTTGATAAAGACAGGGCCTTGCAGGAGAAGCTCACCTATGTGGGTGGGAGAAATGAAAATAATCACAGTAATAAGTAGAAGGTATTGGAAGGCTGTATCCTGGAATTGAAGAAGACCAGCAACTGGTGCTTGCTCTTCAAAACCAAAAAATCAGGCAGTTTCTGTCTGCACCCAGAGTCCCATGCTCTGCAGGTACTGGTTTGTTAAGGAGCCTCAGATAAACCCTCTTAACAGTGCAGAGACACGTCCAAGAAAAAAATGCATGTTGAAAACATCAACATATTAATAATATGACTTCAAACTGTAAATAAGGCTGTAGCAATTACTTTTTATAACAAGAAACTATATCTAAGTGTTCTTTGGGGAATATACCATTACAAGACTCTGTATAACCCTCCTTGTAAAAAAAAAAAGTTCGAAATCATTTGGACACTTGGGTATCATTTTTCTTATATAATCTGCTGGTCATGCAAATCTTGAGGTTGACCATGTTATTTTTGCCGTACTGAATGAAAACTAATATGTGGTGGGATTTCCATTTCATTACTAGCAAGTTAAACAAAAGGATATAACACTAAGCAAACGCCTTTCAAAAACAGTTCCTACTACAATAAGGAGAATTTGAACATCCTCAAGAGAATTTCCACATAAACACAAGAACCAAACATGTCTCCACTGTACTGAGTTTGCAGAGGAACGAGATATTGCCTTCACCAAATGCTTATGCTACGGCAGTTGTATAATCATCACCAGAACATTTCTGAAAACAAACAAATTCACAGGCGAAAAGGAAAAAAAATGCTTTTTACTTTCCTTTCTTGGAATGCTCAGCAAAATCGCAGAGGAGTTTATATTGAAGCAGAGAGTGAATAAAATGAGTAAACAGTAACAGAGAAGGAAGGCCCATGAATAGTGAGACAAAGAAAATGAGATCAACAGCCTCAAAGGCCCCAGAACTATGAACTTATATTTGTACTACTTCAAACAGCAGAAACATGAATAAAAATACTTATCACCACCACATCCATGATAAGGTGACAATATGATAATCAGAATAATCCAAGATATTCTGAAAAGAGCAACAGATATCCAGATCTGTCCTCCAGTCTTGAGCACGTTCCTTGAAGTTAGTGCCACAATTATTCCAAGGCACAGATAAAGGATGTGGAGCCTAAGAATGCTTAGGTGGTGTGAGCAAATTCACACAGCACTTCAGAATGTGCTATACACTCTAAAATAAACTGATTCCCCGGTTCATGCAAAGACATCTTCTTGCCTTTTGCATAAAGAATGTGGCCTTGCCCTAACTCAGGTTTTTGGCCTTGACTTCAAGGAGGTAATTTATGTCACATTTGATTGGCATCTTTGTTTAAAGCAGGGATGGCCACACTGGGTCTTATGCTGGGACCAGCTAAACCCAGCAGTAGTCTTGGGAGGAGGATTGGTTACCTAGACATGCCAGTCTTCTGTTTATGGACAGAGACTGGGGATCCCAGGGTATCTACTGCACTGAAGACTGAGTTCAACCACTGTGCAATCCATCTGTGATACCCCCATAGCACAGCCCCACTGAATACCGGGAACATCAAGCTCAGCAAGCTTTCCTGGATGGTGAAACAGCTGGTGTATTGTCACACATCAGTGCAGGGAGGGTAACAGGTCCTGAGGATGACACAAGGCTAGCAATGTGCATTCTCTAGGCCCTGCCCTGTGTGTCTCTTCCTTGGGCTAATTTTAGTATAGATCATTTCCCTGTATAATTGTGAGCATAATAGCTTTCAGTGCATCCCATCAGTCCTTTTAGCAACTTATCCAAGTTCAGGGTGGTCTGGGCTCCTCCCCACTGACTCAAAGTGGCTATCAGAACTGAGGGCAGGTTTCAAAGTCCAGCTATCTCAGAGCACTCTTCCCTGTGACCCCACCACACATGGATTCCCACGTGTGTACCCTACCTGCAGAAGGCAGCTGGCTAGCTTCCAGAGCCCCTGTACTTGACCTTGACCATGAAGGAAAATGAGACAAGGAAAAATCGCTCACTTTTCCCACATATGAAACAATGCACTTCAGAAGAAATGGATTTTAAAATACCCACTAATGGAAAAGGACTGCTACTGTCGTTTTCTCAGTTTCTCCACCCTCAACCAGCTTACCACATAGACAAGAAAAATACACGAGTTAATTCTTTTCACAGAGTTTGTCAATTTAATTGAAAATGCTACTGATGTCTGTTTGTAAATACATTGAACATGGCAGCTTTTTCTGAACATTCTCCTATCATGATAACTTCTGATTTATATATTTCATTCATTTATGAGATGGCATGGAATTATCTTTTTGACAAACGTTCATAAATGTTAGATTTACAGCAACAGCCGATTGACATAATGCGAAAAATTGGAAATGATAGATAAGATAGGAAAAGAAATCAACAGGAGAAAAATGAAGGACAGATAAGAAAGGGTGTTTTAAATGAACGAGACAAAGCTGTTTTTTATTTATTTATTTATTTATTTTTCTGAACGAGGCATGATGGCATATGCCTCTAATCCCAAATGTGGGAGGCTGAGGCAGGAGAATCACAAGTTCAAAGCCTGTCTCAGCAACTTAGCAAGAACCTCTTTCAAAACGAAAAGTAAAATAAAATGGGCTGGGAATGTGAATCAGTGGTAGAGCACCCCTGGGTTCAATCTGGAAACAAATATATATATATATATATATACATACATACACACATACACACACATACACACACACACACACACACACACATATATAAAAACTTTTTTTACAAGTGACCACAATAAAAATCCCAATGTTCACCTTGTCATCATCTAATAAAAGTCACATCTCAAGTAATGCTCCATTTCTCCTCCAGATATCACTATTAATTTTAGATCAAGAGGTAAAGTAACGGGAAACATGGTTTCTGAGACCCTTCTGAGAGAATTGTGACAAGAGCTAATTTGCTAATCTTTGTAGAGTGTTCTCCAGGTGTGGCCCCATTCTAAGCAACCACTCTCTTTGCCTCCCTGACCAGGGCAACCCGGGCCATGCTGTCTGTGTTTCTCCTCCTCAGTCACACTGACTTTCTTGACACCTCTGAGCTCGCATGGGTGGTTTCTTTCTTTTTAATCCTTCAGAATTTAGCATAAATGTCATCTTCTCTACTAAAACATGACAATCCCTATCTGAAGTCATTACTCATGCGTTTCCACTGGTCACACATCCAAATCCAACTCATGGTTCTGCTGAATCTCCACATACAAACACCATACACATGGGTACCGATGGTGCTGTCTTACAATACCTCAATTTGACAGCTTTCAACTTTACACTGGTGTCAAAGCAGTGTGCGTTCAGCAGAAAGCATGCTTGGAACTATAAATTCCATTCTTTCCATGGCCAGGGATGTGTGAAGCAACCCTCTCTCATGACGACGCCGAGCAGCCATAGAAAGCCCCATAATCCCCAGGATCACAAGAGGAAGCAGCTGACAGTCTGTTCCACAGTGCACCTATTGCTAAGCCAGAATGCTAGGTAAATGAGGTGAATCTAGTTGTGATTCATAGTACTTTCAACTCACAATGGGTTTATCAGGACATAATCCCATATGGCATAAGTTGAGGGGCAGGCGAATACATGTTATTTATTGCTCTCATTCCTCGGAGTATCCCCAGCTCTTAGAGCATGGTAGATAGTCAACATTTTTCTACTATTGAACCAAATAAGATAAATGAAACACAATAATTCTACAAAACACAGATATTATTTTTAACCTGGTCATTGATAAAGCTAAGATTTTAATTCCTGGACTTAACTTCCTACCTTATATGTAGTTTGGCCTCCACAGAAGTGGGACACAGAGATTAAACAGCCCGAACATGGTAACAGATTTTTGATGAGATATGTGGAATCAGTCCCAGGGTTCACATTCCTGGTTTGTTTCCCTTTCCACTAATACACACCACACTAAATACAGTTAGAGGGGAAAATTAGCCATCAGCCTGCGTCTTCAAAGCCAGCGTTTCCCAATGACACTGAAGTTAACAGCCCATGAGGCACATATCCACCAACTCTGAAATTTACAGCTCCTGGAGGCTCTCAGGCTATCTGCAAGCACTTGGGAGCCTCCAATGAATCTTAAAAAGTAAGTACAAATTAATAATCAAAGGTGTCAGGCTAGTCCATGCTTTATGCTCAGAAAAAAAGACAAAAGCCACTCAGTCTTGCGAGAACCAGAATAAAATAGGTGTTCAGAGATGCTGGGGCATAATGTTCTAGTCTCTTGTCAGCAATATAAACTTAAAGAGAATACATTCTGAAATCTTCACTAATCTGAAAGAAATCGTCCAATATTTTCTTCAGAATGAATTTTGATCCTCAAAAGGGGAGAATCTTGGCAATTCACACACATATTCATAACCAGCAAAAAGGAGTGTGAGTGAGGACTGAAGGGGCCCCCTGACTAACCAAAGGGATACCACGCAACATTCAGATGGATACTAAGTGTCACTTTTTGTGACAGGGGCATTTTTTTTTGATATGCCAGCCTGGCTCCAAAGCTCCATTTTAAGTTTACGACCGAAAATAAAGGGTATATAACATTTCCAAACAGGACTAATAAGTCCCCAAATCCAATCCTAAGGTGATATTTTTTTCCCCAAACACCCACAAGCAACTAGGAATAACTGCCTTTGAATGCAAGTACAAGCTTTATGGGCTCCTGAGGTAATGCCATGTAAAAGATCAAACTGTGGCCAATCAATTCTAATGGTCACATGCCGTACAATTTTCATGAAGACTGACAGAGATGTAGACAAGGGATTTCAGGCTGTAGCAAAGCTTTTACTAAAATAAATAGAATTCCTAAAAGACAAGTGATGTCATCTCTGAAATTCCTAGGGAAACAGACAGCCCATCTTACTTTCCCTTGCCGATTTACATTCTAACTGCATCAGAAGAAAACAACCGTGCATTTTGCAAAGAAGAGGACAAATTCTAAAAGGCAAGGTAATGTTACTGAAGATGATTTTTC